GAAGAGTAATTTTTAATCTCCCTCCTTGTCGCTTACTCGGACCTCTCGCTCGTACCTCGTGTCGCTGACCTATCCCAAACTGCAGACAAGTGGCAGACGCGATTCCTGGAAGGACGTAGTACGCATTTCCAGGAAAAAATGTAGGTCAGGGATCCATTCATAACTTCTGCACTGTGTCTAACGCTATGGAGACTTTAAATCCTTATATCTCGGCAACCAATTGAGATATCGAGATAAATCAAAGAGGGATTTTAATGGTATGGTTTTCTCTATTTCTTGAGTGGATTTTGATCATAAAATTTTTGCATTTTTCATCTGAAAAAACGAAGTCTCATTTGAAATTTTGCATGATTGGAATGGTTTAATATTTGACGTAAAGTACATACAAACTTAAATTTATTTAATTTCACTCACCTTTTATATTTGTATACTACAAATAATAAATATGTAAAATAATCTGTATAAATATTATTTTAATATATCGTAATATACTTACATTAATATATAGAACTATCATTTTATGAAAAGAAAAATATTGAAAAAATATTGAAAGTTATGATATGTATGTGTGCTAAAATAATATTCCCTTTTCAACTTACCTTATATGGAAAAAGTTTTTTTAACAATATCAAAAGAGATCCAAAAATAAATTAAGAAACACTAATTTTCCTTTGATGATATAAAATAATAACGCGAATAATCCTTAGGATTCGATGATCGAGACGTACAAGAAGATGTGGCGATTCATGGAGAATAAGAAGCCATCAGTATTCGTGCCTACTTACGAGGAAGGGATCCAGAGGGTTCTTCAAGGTGATTACGCTTTCTTAATGGAATCCACTATGCTGGATTACATCGTGCAAAGGGATTGCAATCTAACGCAAATCGGTGGACTTCTGGATAGCAAAGGATATGGGATTGCCACGCCTATGGGTAAAATATATCTTCCTCTATTTCTACAATCTCTGATGTTTTAACATTCGCTTCTCTTGTAGGTTCTCCTTGGCGTGACAAGATATCTCTGGCGATTCTAGAACTCCAAGAGAAGGGAGAGATTCAGATGTTGTATGACAAATGGTGGAAGAGTCCCGGTGACACTTGCATGAGAACGGAGAAAGGGAAGGAGAGCAAAGCGAATTCCTTGGGAGTAGACAATATAGGTAATCCTAGGAAAATATATTTCCAAAGTTTCATAATTTATATTCCATATTGCTTGAATATAATTTTCATTCAACGCATCCAATTTTTTCTTTCTTTGTTTCGACCCTTTATCGCGACCCACTTCACACAAATCGCGTCGAACCTCTTCGACTAGCGAGAAATCCAACAAAAAGAAGTCCTGTTCGCGATCAGGACTAATGAATTTTTATATTTGCCTAAAGTTCAGCTTCTTGTGTTGCTTTATAGGCGGAGTATTCGTTGTACTGCTGTGCGGACTGGCGTTCGCCGTGGTGATCGCAATTTTCGAGTTCTGCTATAATACCAGAAGGTCGCCGCCAGAACAGGTAAGTATTTCATCGAAAAACTATTTCCCGATAGAGTCAAAGATTTAATCCTTAACCAACTGATAACCAGATTTTAAATAACGTAAACATATACAAGAAGACTTCGAAATACGAATAAATCAAAATGCAAAAATCTGTGATTGTTGTTCTCAAACTGATAGACGAAAGAATATTAAGAAAAAAAAAAAGAGAGAGAGAAGATAGTGGAAATTTTTTTTACATTCAGTGAAAACAATGCATAGCGAAGAGTCAGTTGTTAAGGATTAAAGAAAAAAAAAAAAGATGGAAAAGAAAAAAGGAGGAGTAAACACTGTTGCACAAGACACTTATTTGCACGTGACAGTAGAATATTTTTCTAATGATTTGTCGCGAATCGTATCCGCAAGGATTCGAGAACAGATCGTGGGAAAAAAGAAACTTTTTTCCAGGCATTGCCACCATCAGCTTAGGATTGCATGTATTTTTGTCACTTTTGTGTTCCATTTTGTGGCCCACCGTGGATTTTTCCGCGAAGCAGCATGAACTCATCCTTCATTGAAGCATGCCAACCAACTGCGAATGCACGAAGCTCAGTTGACAACCAAGGTCCGTTTTTTCTCTCTCTCTCTCTCTCTCTCTCTCTCTCTCT